GCATCTAGTCCCCTATGGAGCTTCCCAAATGAGTTGCGGTGACCACTCGACTTGCTTTTTATTCCTCGTTTGCTATTTAAGAAGTGCCATCTATGCTGCTCTACCAGAAATGCAGTGTCAGTTCCTCATCATGGGACCTGGCAACTCAGTGGAGCTGCTTTATGACTGATTCGCCACACCCGTGTGAAAGTTCAACTCCATATCCTGACCTCTTCTGTCACAGACGAGCTGGGAGAAGCGGGAGACTGCAAACATCCTGTCACAATACTGCAAAGCCTTCTCCTGTTGTCAGGTTTGACCTAGAAACCACTATACAAAGCCCAAGCAAAAGTCTCTGTTATGTAACTAATGCCCATCTGCAATGATAAGGAGGAGACAGTCTTAGATAAAGGAGGCTTGAAAACAAAAGCAGAATCAGAGGACTAGGGCAAAGAGCTTTTTTAAATATTAAAAATCACACCCCTAGGTGGGGAGAAAGTATGCTAATGAAACATACATGTATGTAAATGAGATACATAGCTAAAACACAGGTATAGAGACATGCTCAGTAAAGAACTCCTTGCGTCACTCCCTTATAACCAATTAGCAAACACAAATGCTTATGAAGGTCCAATACTCCTGTATAAAAGATGCTTAGAATTAAGAATCGGTGTGCTTGTTACGTGAAATTATTCCGCTTGCACCTTGTATTGCTAGCAATAAATCTTCTTTATACTTTCACCCCTGGTATCTTTATTGGCTTTTGCATACCGAGCACGATCCGAGACTTGAGCTGGGGCTCAACACTGTCACTCGAGACCCAAGTGGCTGGTCTGCAAGGGCAGAATGATTTGGGTTGGGAGAAAAGGTGCTTTGAGGCTACAGTGGTGGGAGGTAGAAAGGGTGGACCTAGAGGGGAATGAATAGGGGGACACTGGAAAGGCAAGGCTAGGACTGCTACCTACATGATAGGGGCCAGCACTCTCAGTGCTTTTAGAATAAAACAAATGCTACTTCAGACAGAATGACCCCAGCCTGCAGGAGGAACCCAGTCAAAGGCCAAGGCAAGACTTTCAAATACATAAATTTTGACTGCTGCAGGTCTGCCAAGACAAGAGGAATCAAAGCTCATGCTTCAAGCACCGGCTGTTACCACCGGTTCAGAAAGGGGTTTATCTACCTTTGCCATGCACCACTATGTCCTGGGGATTTCATTTTCTCTGGGGTTGCATGTGGGCTTTTGCCTGATGGGCCCCTGGGCTGATGACGTCTGTGTTTCTCTGTAGAGACTGGTCTGACGGAGGCAACAGTACCCGTATTTACCCTATGATTGTGATACTCACCTCAGAGCATCTGTGGGCAATGCAGAATCCTTAGGGCTGCCTGGCACACCTGGCACTGCTGTTTGTTGAGGAAAGCACATGGCTTTGTCCTCCTCTCTGAAAAGCGTCCTGGCATAATGAACAAGGAAAGGCAGGAGGTCGCAGATTTCCTGCTTGAGGGAGGACGTCTCTTCAGCCATCCAGGCCCCAAGGATTCGAACGGAGGCAAATATGAAAGGCTCCCCCAACTTCTCCCATCCCACCTGCACAAAGAACAAAGCAGGCATAAAGCCAGAGTTGGGGAGCACAGTGACATTTTCCTGATTAAGCCTCAGGTTTTTGCCTTGGGGCTGAGAGCAAAGACTCTGGGTAAAGGCCAGGAGAGGGAGCTCAGGAATAGCTGGCTCCTGCAGTTCACACTTGCAAGGTTTGGGACTGAGACATGTCTGGCAGAATTCTCAATTTTAACAGAAATCTGGAGTTCGGGCTAGCGTCTCCAGAGCCCTGAGGAGCTGATGGACCATCAATGGGACATGGGCACATAATTCCCTTCAGCACTCTGAAAATATTGTTAGTAAACTGTGCCACTTTGCCCTGAAGCTACTCAGGGTATGAAGATAACACTGCTCCTAGGCCCATGCCTTGCTGTATTCCAGTCTGGATCCAGATCAAGGGACCAGGGACAGGTCTACAGCCTGCTGTGCTTTCTGATGCTAGAAAATGCTGCTTCCCAACCCAAGCTGTTCTTTAGATACCAGCTGCCAAAATTTCCAGCTAGACGGGGAAGTGGGAACATCAGCAAGAAGAGCCACAGGTTTATCAGTCCAGCATCATGTAACATGTCAGATTTGGAAACCCTTTGGGTGAATGAGTAAAAACCCTTTCAAAGCCAGTAAGGGCTGGAGAACTGGGACCAGAGATCAAAATGGAGACTGGAGGGAGGAGCTGCCTCTAGATGCAGCTTTTCAACTGCAGCAAAGCAACACCAGAAAGGTTTAAACATGTAAAGGCTGGGGTGCGTTTCTGTATCTAGCCAAATGCAGTGACAGAGGGAGCTCCCTGGTGATGGTACCCATTACACTTGCTTGAGGGAGAAGGTATTTCCAGGTCCCACATACCTGTCGCAGGTAGTATATGACAGCCCCAAATGCTTCCCCCATGGTTCCAACGAGCTGCACTTTCTGCTTCTCCTTGAGCAGAGGTTTCTCTTCTCTCATGCATTCCAAGATGCCCATCTCTATGAGGATGTAACAGGCTGTCATCACCTCCTCCTTCCCATCCACCGTTGCAGGGTCTGGCTCCTCCAGGCACAGCCGAACCTCCACACAAGCCAGGTTCACCAGCAAGGCCAGGAACTTACTCCCGGCGTTCCCTGCTGGGATCCATTCTGAGCCACAGGCCTGCGAGAGGCAGGCGGCCAGCTTCAGTGCAGGGTCACGCTGCAGCTGGCTCAGCCTGCTGCTAAGTATGCTGGCTAGCCCTCTGTAAAGGTTGTGGAGACATTTGGAGCCCTGTGGGTGCTGAGTGAGCAGTGGTGGTGGAGGCATGAAATGAGGAAGGATCGCACACATCTGGAATTTGGTCATGTCTTCAGCCCTGTGGAACGTTTCACTGAGCTTGCCCAACACAGCCATGAGGTCAGGGGTGGCTCTCTGCCAGCATCTCGCTTCTGCTGTGGCTAGAAGTCCCTGAAGCAACTGAAGGGCATGGTCATGGCCGTAAGAATTCTTCAGATACACCTGGCACAGAGCTGACACAGTTCCTCGGGACACCAACTCTCTGGGGCCTCTGGCAGTGGCCAGGACTGCACCCAGACACTGGTAAACATCATCAACCATGGAGCTTGTGTATGTGTCATCCGGATTGCATGGGGAAGCCAGGATATCATTGAAGGTGGGAATTTTGTTAAGGATCTGGGAGTGGCTGGCTAATTCAGGATCAGTGCAGAAACAAGTCAGCAGGGTCAGGCCAAGTGCTCTGAAGACATGCTCTGGACAGCCAGCCGGGGGTTCCCTGGAAGCAAGAAGCCGATTTGGGAATGTGAATCCGACTGCATCGAAGATCCGACGGCGGGTTCTGCAGTCCACTTCTCCAGCTCTGACTGCTTTGGTCACCTGCAAAACAAACCATGCATCAGAGTGCGCCACAGGCATGCATAGGCCTGGCTGGAAGCTCTGGACAAGGCTGAACAACTAGGAAGGAAGCCAGAGGAACACCAATGACTTAAACAGCAAAGAAAACCCCTGCACCCAGCTGCCTCTACACCTACATGGAGGCTTGGGCCTCTGGACAGTCTGACTACTAACGACCACTCTGAACTCTGAGGACCTTCCAAATGGCAAGCTACCTCAAGGCACCCGGGGAGACCAAGGAACTGAGAGTTAAAGCAATCTGCCAGGTGTCTCATGACTTGGTGGCAAAGACAGACATGAGACCCAGGAGTTTTGCTTTCCAGTGCCTGAAGCTAACACCCCGCCTCCTTCATGCAGACAGGTTCATCTGGTGGCAGCTGGTCCCATATTTGCTCTGGAACCAGCTGCATGCCATTGCTGCAGCCTGAAGCAGGCCCTTACCAAGAGAAGCGCTGCAAACTGCTCGCTGTCATTTTTTGCATCTCTGAGCACATCGAGGCACCGCTCTAGCGTTGTATTCCCGGCCGCATTGCCAGCACCGGGAGCAGCTCCTGAATCTGAAGCCATGATGCCAAGTCCAGCTCTGGATAAAAAAAAAAGCCAGGGTTTAGCAAATCCACAAGCGCTGGGCTTGAACAGGGACTGCTCATCCTAGTGGCTTCAGAAAAGCAAGAAACTGTATGCGATGGAGGGACGTCAATGGGAAGGAGTTGAGTGAGGGAACAGGACACGGCTGTTCAAACTGACCAGCACCTCCCCAACCCCCTTGCATCTTTCCTTCCCATAATCAGAAAACAAGGAGGCTTGAGCAGAACCCCGCTCCGTTTTATCGCACGCCCTCGAGTAGCCTGTCCGCCCGCACGGGCTGCTCGCCGCTCTCTGCTGCGCCGCACCGACGCGCGGTTGGGGTCAAGAACCAGTCCCGAGCATTTCCGTTACGAACCAGGGTTTCGGAGAAGTTTGTTATCGCTTGTAATGCGTGGCATCTCCAGCCCCCCGGTGTGACAATTGCTTTTCAACTAAAAAACCTGGTTTAAACTGGGGGGGAGGAATGGTTTAAAGGGCCAGGGTCATTTTTAAAAAGCGACAGAAAATTGAGCGGGGACTCCTGGCTTTGACTGACCGACAGCAGAGAAGCCTCCTTTTTTCTCCCCCGCAAAGACGCCGCGCGAACGCGTCCCCACGAGCCGTGACGGTGCGGGTTCAAACCCCAGGACCGCCCCGTATCTTCATACGGAGATTTGGGGCCAGGCCACGTGCAGCAAACAGGCGGGAATGGGAAGGGGCAGAGCACGAGGCTGTGGGGGTGGGGGTGTCACATCTCGCCCGACCCCTGCTCAAGGTAGGACGATGCCCAGTTGGGTCCTAAACCCCTCCCGAGACAGAAACGCGCCCCACGCGGCCCTCCCCTGCCGCCAGGCCTTTGCCTCGTCCCCGCTAACCCCCCTGAGCCAATCCGCGA